TTGGGTTTGGATATTGAGTTGTATGAGTTGTAATCCTATATGGTTGGAGTCTTTCGAAGCACATATTAGAACCATAGATAAGCATTATAAACAAAAAAAGAAAAAAGAAAAAAAACACACTTAAGGTGCACATTTCCTTGCCTTGACAAGTCGCGGACAAGGCGTGCGACTTACTCAACTTGCCTCGCCTTGGGTCCCTTCCCTTCAATTGCAACCCTTGTGCCTAGGCGCACCTTTCACAATGCTGTATATGAGTGAGAGAAGATTCACTATAAACCATATGGAGGTTATAATAATGAGACCAAAAAACACTCAAAAACCCAATGCTTAAGAGTAGCTAATCCCTAAAGCAAAACACGCTTCACTGCTCATCCCCGATGCCCTAATATTTTTTCATCTCCTTTACATATATACAAAACCTTTCAAACTCACACCACTAAAATTCCCTAAAGTGTCCTATTTATAGGAAAACCCAACAAATCCTAATTATCATATAAGTATTAAAACCCCACATACACAAATACATGCAAAAACCAATAATTGTATAGATCCCGCAAAATATAATACACACCCAATATTTACCATTGCCAAAATAATAGAAATGAAACAAAAGTAAATAAATTTAAAGGCATCAATGGAATTGCAAATAATAGAAACTCTCAACTATCAAAAAATTGATTGCCCCAACAGAGATAAAGCGTTTGTCACCTCAAAAGTAACATGAAAGGCAAAGGAGTTGTTCATTCTATATGAGATGATCGAATTACTAGGCTCACTTCACATAGCATTTAGAAAAAATAGTCAAAAAATACTACATGTTTGACGATTTTATAACTTTAAGCCTAAATTTTGAATCTTACATAGCCAAGCTTGTTCACACATGTTTTAGGACTACGTAGGGTAAAACAGGACAATATGATTTGCGAAGTTGAATGTGGATTTTAAATTGTTGAATTTTTTATTTGATGTCTACTATTTCTTGATATTGATCAGTAAGATAGTGGAAGAACATATTAAAAGTTATGACGCAAATAGTAAGGAAGTTTGTTTTTGTTCCCTATCAATATTGTTAGGTAATCGATTATTGTTTTGGCCTTACTTTTAATATTTCGATGTAACAATAAAATGATATTTGTAACAAGTAATTTTGTTGACTGGTTAATTGATCACATTTTATTTATGAATGGCTTGGATTTGTATGCCTAAATATGCCAAAATCATTTTATTAAATAAAATCTACTTATTCAAACTAATAAATGCCTTTTGTGTTTGAGAAATTTTATGACTTAGATATTTAAGCGCTATTTGGGAAAAGGAGTTTGGGGTGAAAAAAGACAAAACGGTGAAAAAATCCAATAAGCAAATACAAACAAAAGTGCATTACGTGCCTTGCCAGGGCTGGTGATAACAGATTGCAAAATGATGATTTCGACCCTGTAAGTATTAAATAATCACTAGTCGTTGCTTTCATTTTCTTTTAATTGTCAAAGCCACGTCACCCCCTATTGTATTTGGGAAAAATTATTGTTTTAGGGGCAATTTAGTCATTTGCCATCACAATATCATTTCAAACACATTTTCCAATACAATAATCTAATAAAAAAGCTAACCCATTTTTTCAAATACAAAAACTAAATAGCTTAGTCAAAAAATCAAAAAATTAAAAAAGTAGCCTATTCCCAAACAAACCCTTATTCTCTTATTTTTATTAAATGTGTCACCAATTCTTATTAAGAAATTAGAAGAAATCTCAAAAAGTAAAGAAAAGGCGAAAAGCAAGCAAGAAAGAAAAATGTAGAAATAGAAACAACTTACAAAATGAAGGTGATAAAATAAGAGGAAGAGGCATATGCCAAAGAAAATCATTCTACTTCCCTTGTTTTAAGTTTGTGCAATAGTAATTAAAGTCTGACCTGATAACATGATTAAAATTGTTTCCATCCAATAGTCACTGATAACATGAATAAAGTTGTTTCCAATAAATAGTCACTTCGTAATTGAACTTAGCCAAATTGTCATAACATGACGTACGTAAGAACATGTTGCATTGGTGAATATAAATGTGAATTACAGGTATAGTTCTTTCTATGCTAATATATAATTCCTTGTGTGTGGTTAGTCTACTTAGGCCTCGTTTGGGAACAGACTAATTTAGTAACCTTTTGGCTATTTGGCTAAAAAGGTAAGTAAAAAAAATTTGTATGTTTGGGATGACTTTTTGGCTAATTACGAAAAGATGTGCAAAAAGTATGTCATAACATGACGTACGTAAGAACATGTTGCATTGGTGAATATAAATGTGAATTACAGGTATAGTTCTTTCTATGCTAATATATAATTCCTTGTGTGTGGTTAGTCTACTTAGCAAAGTGTATTGATAGCATCTTTGAAATCTTATCATGTCTCAACTAAATTTTTCTCTAAACTCACTTGTGATGTTTAGTTTTTATTTTGTAGGCCATAGTAAATCACTCATTAACGTGCAATTATCAAAGTGCACTTGAATTGTCTCTCGATACGAGGGTCTTTTTATAAATTTTTCTGCATTGATTTGAGAATAGATTATTTTAATAATTTTTTTATATATAAAAAACGTGTAAAAAATGGAGAGAATAAAATATTTGACTTTTTTTTATATAATTTTTTAATTATTTTGCCTTTTTAATGACTAATTAACATTTTGACTAATATTTGATGTTGAAAAAGTCTTTAAAATCAGCCCTTGAGGGATTTAACTACACTTGCTAAATAAATCTTGACTTTTTATCTTATGGACAAAACCTTTTTTACTGGCTTTAAATAATATCTAAGTGAGAGAATTTTGGTAGACGTAGTTAGAACGCAGGGCAACTTTGGGGGTTGAAATATCAGAATGTCCAAGAAAAACTTGTTCAAACAAATCCAATGTCAAAGTAGATGGGAGCAAATTACTAAGTTGCCCTTTGAGTCATGTCAAGTCATGATGTCTCGCCTCTTCTTATGCAAGAATTATTATATAATATACAATCGGCCAATTTCTTTTACTAATTTGTTTGCAGAAATGATATATTTTTCTAATTTGGATGTTCTAAAAGAGTAATGATATGTGAAAAATCAAAAAAAAAAAAAAGCAAAAAACAAAAACGAAGGCCAAAACAACGCATCACATGAGACCCACACACCAATTAAAATTATTAAAGCTCCTAATTTAGTGCTCATAATCTTTTTTCACACCAATTAAAATTATTAAAGCTCCTAATTTAGTGCTCATAATCTTTTTTCATTTGTTTGAATGGTTCAGGAATTGACTCAATATTAATTGTGTGATTGAGTTTGACATTATATAAGGTGTGATTTATATGTAAAATAAATTTGAATCATTAAATAATAATAATGAATAATTTAATAATGATAATGAATAATTTTTAAATAGCCAAATCTGAATTTATAATATTATTATTTACATTTTGGTCTTTTTGAAAGGCTCAATATGAATAGAATGAGATAGGATGTGGGGACGCTGCTGCGCAGCCTGTGCAGCAATTTGAGCTCATTTCGGGGTTCATTTTGATAATCCGAACCGTTCACATTTTAGAATACGTCAAGTAAAACATGCCTGTAAAAAATCAAGTTAATCGGATATCGTTTACGCATTCATCCACTCACATTTGTATATACAAAAATAAATACAAATGTATTTTAGCTTGATTAAAACGAATACAAATATGAGTGGATGAATAAGTAAATGATATCCGATTAATTTAATTTTTTACAGACATGTTCTACTTGACGTATTCTAAAATGTGAACGGTTCGAACTATCAAAATGAACCTTGAAATGGGCCAAAATTACCGCACAACTGACGCTGCTGCTGCACAGGCTGCGCAACAGCGGCCCCACATTCAATGAGATGGTGGTACAAATATTTACGTCCATAGATCATGAAACATTTATTAATTAAAATGGAATTTTAATTTTACATATAGGCACTTGCGTTTTTCTCTTTTTCTTAAGCACTTATCCTCAATCAATCAGTATTACGCCTCCGTTTGGGAAGTGAGTTGACTTTTTAGTTTTTTGACTATTTTAGCATCGGGTTAAAAAGTCTGATTTAAAAAAGAATTTTTTGACTTTTTTAATTTTTTTTATGAGAGAGGAGTAATGATTATGGGTTGAATTTGATATTTTATTTTTTATGATTAAAATAGTCTATTTTATTTTTTGTGACTATTTTAACTCCTAACCCACTGAAACCCACTTCCCAAACTATGCCATGACACAATAGTTAACAGTATTCTAGAAACCTGAGTGTTTTTTTTTTTAATAAAAAGATTAAATATGAATTAATTAGTTAAATATATTGACAAATTTACGTAGGAAGTAGGCAGACATTAATTGACTTTGAAATTTAATATAATTCCCATTCAAAATGAGCACTTACACCACACAAATATACAAAACATAATAATCTGTGGTCAAATTCAGACAACTTCTTCTCCAAACATATTAATTCATTTATTACCCTTCCCCCCCTTCTAGAACAACGACTAACAACTCCTCTTTCTCTTTCTCCCTCCTCGCTTTCGAAGACTTTTTTGTCCTACTATATATATATTTTTTATTTATTTTTAGATATTTAAGAGAATTAAAATAATTAAAAAAATGTCATATTTAATTTATAATTATTTTTTATCATAATCATTAAATCAATTAATAAAAATCAACTAATTTCTCAAGTATAATATTAAATATATCGATTAATGTATCAATTGATAATGTGATATAATTTAAATTTTAAAAAATATGATCAATGAGTGAGATTAATAATAATATTATAACTAGTATTGATACACTAGTTAATACATTAATTGATACATATAACACTACTAATTTTTTAAATATAACTATTCATTAAAATAGTTAAAAAATTAAATAATCAACTAAAATATATATTTCAAATAAAACCTTTGTTTTTGTTTGTTTTCCTAATTTTTGATTTTTGATTTTGATTTTGAATTGCTCATGTTGTCGCCACCCGTTACGACTCCTTCCCAATTTCTTGCAATCGTCGCCTGCTATCTTTCTCTCTCTCTGTCTAATGAGGAACAATGGTTTTGACCTTGAAAATTCTCTCTCTTCCCTTCATATACACGCATTTGTTCTCTCTCTCTCTCTCTCTCTCTCTCTCTGCTTCACAAGAGAAACGAGACCCAGCTCCAGAATCACCTCTAAGATAATATCTTCGTTTACATCCAAGTAAGTCCCCAAACGATCCAACCCCGATTTTAGCTAAACCTTTCTATGTCTATCTATCTATATACATAGATAGAGAGCTTACCTTAAGCTCTCTTTAAAATTGTATATGTATAGTTGGGGTTTTATGTGTTCACAACTGTTGTACTAAACAAATATTTCTCCCAAAACACTAGACACTACTTTCCCCCCTTTTGTGCTTTTTATTTTTATTTTTTTGGGTTCTAGCTCTGTATGTCTCTGTTGCTTTTGTTGTGAATTTTAGACTTTAGTTGAGATCAGAATCTGGGTTTTGTATGAATTTTGTTAAAATTGATTCTGTGCTGCTGTTCAAGTGGTTTCTGAGAATCAGATCATGACCTCAAACCGGCCCCTTTTGATCCCTTCCCCTAGAACCCCAGGCACCCAAGACTTGCCCTACACACCCATCTTCACCGATCTGTCCAAACCTGTTTCTGGGATGGATTCCAATAACCCAATTGAGGTGTCCCCACTTCCTGATCCTATCTTGGGCTTGTCGCCGTCCCAGCATAGTGTTTCATCAATCCAGTCCAAGGCTTCCGCCGGAAATTCTATCCGGGAGGTGAGTTTTGGTGATTTGGGATCCAAAAATATGCGGCATGGGTCAAGGGGTGCTGATTCTGAAGCGCTTAGCGTGTCCCAGAAAGAGATTAATGATGAGGATGCAAGGCTAATTTATATAAATGATCCCGAGAAGACGAATGAGAGGTTTGAATTTGCTGGGAATTCGGTTAGGACTGCGAAATATTCCGCCTTAACCTTTTTGCCTCGCAATCTCTTTGAACAGTTTCATAGAGTTGCATACATATATTTCCTTGTGATTGCTGTTCTCAATCAGCTTCCACAGCTTGCAGTCTTTGGTCGAGCAGCTTCAATCTTGCCATTATCCTTTGTGCTCTTAGTTACTGCAGTTAAGGATGCATATGAGGACTATAGGCGGCACCGGTCTGACCGAATTGAGAACAATCGATTAGCAACAGTTTTGGTAAATGATCAGTTTCAAGAGAAGAAGTGGAAGGATATCCAGGTAGGCGAAATCATCAAAATTGTTGCAAATCAGACTATTCCCTGTGATATGGTGCTGCTCTCAACCAGTGATCCAACCAGTGTAGCCTATGTCCAGACCATTAATTTAGATGGGGAGTCAAACTTGAAGACACGGTATGCAAAGCAAGAGACCGTTTCAAAAGTTCCCGAGAAGGAAAAGATTAGTGGGTTGATCAAGTGTGAGAAACCTAACAGGAATATCTATGGATTCCATGCAAACATGGAAATTGATGGGAAACGGGTTTCTCTCGGACCGTCTAATATTATTCTTCGTGGCTGTGAGATCAAGAACACTGCATGGGCAATTGGGGTTGCAGTGTATGCTGGCGGGGAGACCAAAGCAATGCTCAACAACTCTGGAGCTCCGTCTAAGAGGAGCCGAATTGAGACCCGTATGAACCGGGAGATTATTCTTCTCTCTGTCTTTCTTGTTACTTTGTGTACTGTGGTCTGCATTTGTGCCGGTGTTTGGTTAGTGCGCCATAAGCATGAACTGGCTTACATCCCCTTTTTCAGGAAAGCAGATTTCTCTACAGGCGAAGAGACGGACTATAACTATTATGGATGGGGGATGGAGGTTTTCTTTATATTTCTCATGTCAGTTATTGTGTTCCAGATCATGATCCCGATATCACTGTACATTTCTATGGAGCTTGTCCGTGTTGGTCAAGCTTACTTCATGATCAGGGATTCCCAAATGTATGACGAAGCGTCAGATTCAAGATTCCAGTGCAGGGCTTTAAATATAAATGAAGATCTGGGACAAGTAAAGTACATTTTCTCAGACAAAACTGGTACCTTGACTGAGAACAAGATGGAATTTAAATGTGCAAGCATTTGGGGTGTAGATTACAGTGGTGGGAAAACGAGTTCACAAGATGAACAAGTGGGATACACGGCTCAAGGTATTACCTTTTTGTTTTTGTTTTTTGATTGCTGGGAAAAATATGTGTTGTCTTTCTTACCAGCTGAATATTTCTTGCACTGTCTCCTGTCTTTGGTATCAGTGGGCGGGCAGGTTCTGAGGCCGAAGATGAAGGTGAAGGTTGATCCAGAGCTTCTATACCTATCCAAAAGCGGGAAGCATACAATAGAAGGCAAACATGTTCATGATTTCTTCCTTGCATTGGCCGCTTGCAACACAATTGTGCCTCTTATTGTTGAGACATCTGATCCTACACTGAGTTTGATAGATTATCAAGGGGAATCTCCGGATGAACAGGCATTGGTTTATGCTGCTGCTGCTTATGGTTTTACGCTTATAGAGCGAACCTCCGGCCACATAGTTATAGATGTTCAAGGAGAAAGACAAAGGTAATTTTGAAGTGTTTTTTCGACCTTTCTGAACTTTTTTTGCTTCTCTGTGATTCTTATGCTACTATTAGGTACTACCACTTGGTTATGATTGGTATGGAGGCTTGGTTACAGATTGGCTGTTATTTTCAGAAATCTTCTACTGCTTCCATTTGTGAAGTGGAAGAAGATGGTTCTTTATTGAAAAGAAATTCTTTAAATTTTTTATAGCATATGTTTGACTTCCAAAAATATTATTCTTCCAAAATAAAGAAACACATATGCTTGTTGTCTCTTCGCGTGCAAATTTCCAGTGATATGATTTTTGAGGGTGTGGTGGTGGTGATAGGGTAGATTTTTATTTTTGATCTAATTTTCCTTTTTTATAAAAAAATATTAAATCTTTGCTTTTCTGATTCTTGTGTAGTAGCAAGGATAAAGGTTTAAAGTTATATGACAATCAGTTGTGGCACTGGTGCTTATGGTTATAGTTGATTAATTTGCCTCTCTTTCTTCATGACATGTAAACCTTACTGTCTCTTGTTTTTGGTGCTATCCCTTTATGGGCAATGCAGGTTTAATGTTTTAGGATTGTTGTATGGTGTAGGTATACGCTTTTCACTGGTTTCACTTTGACAACTGCAATTACTGAGTGGAGCAGCGTCTTGTATTCAGTAATTTATACTTCATTAGGATGTCGGTTATACTTGGTTTCCCTGACAAGAGCGTAAAAGTCTTTGTAAAAGGTGCTGACACGACCATGTTTAGTGTAATAGATAAATCCTTGAACTTGAACGTAATACGTGCAACTGAAGACCATCTTCACTCTTATTCATCTGTGGGTTTGAGAACCCTTGTTGTGGGAATGCGGGAACTAAATTCTTCAGAATTTGAGCAATGGCAGTCTTCTTATGAGACAGCAAGCACTGCTTTGATTGGAAGGGCAGCTTTACTACGTAAGGTTGCTAGCAATGTAGAAAAGTCCCTGACTATATTGGGTGCCTCTGGAATCGAAGATAAACTGCAAAAAGGCGTGCCAGAAGCTATAGAGTCTCTAAGAGTGGCAGGTATTAAGGTCTGGGTTTTGACTGGGGACAAGCAAGAAACTGCCATTTCCATTGGCTACTCCTCTAGACTTTTGACTAGCAAGATGACCCAGATTGTTATTAACAGCAACTCCAAGGAATCATGTAAAAAGAGTTTAGAAGATGCATTGATTATGTCTAAGAAGCTCATGACAGTGTCTGGTGCTGTGCACAATAATACTGAAGGAAATTCTGGAGCTGGCGCAAGTTCACTTGCCTTGGTCATTGATGGAACAAGCCTTGTTTATATCCTTGAGACTGAACTTGATGACCAGGTCAATACCTGTAATCTAACCAATCTTCTCCTCTATCTTCCTCTCAAGATTTTGCGCTAGCTCTATTCTGACTTGACAAACTCTTCTCAATTTTGCAGCTCTTCCAATTAGCCAGTAAATGTTCTGTTGTGCTATGTTGCCGTGTGGCTCCATTGCAAAAGGCTGGAATTGTTAACCTCGTAAAGAACAAGACAGATGACATGACTCTTGCCATAGGGGATGGTAAATGCCTCCCTCGCTATTCTCTCTGCTTTATTATTATTCTTAATTAGATTGATATCTCGTAATGAAAAGCATTTTATCTAATTTATTTGGACTTTTGCCCTGATAATAGAAGTTTTGATTGAATGTTCACAGGTGCTAATGATGTTTCAATGATCCAAATGGCTGATGTGGGAGTTGGTATCAGCGGGCAAGAGGGTCGGCAAGCTGTCATGGCATCAGATTTTTCAATGGGGCAGTTCAGATTCTTGGTTCCCCTTTTATTGGTTCATGGACATTGGAATTACCAGCGGATGGGCTACATGATATTATACAATTTTTACAGGAATGCGGTGTTTGTTCTTGTCTTATTTTGGTGAGTTTAATATTTTTTTTGTAACGTATGTTCCGATAGAAAAATCTATACTCGAACAATTGTGATGTGAAAATGTCAATCAGCTTAGCTGACAAAATTTGTGGACATAATATCCGACCTTGGTTGAAGGCTTTGCTTGAGCCTTTAACTAAGTCTTCAATTGTAACATGTCGGGAGTATGAAAGGAGAGTAATACTTTAAATATATTTTTTGGGTTTTTCTTTTTTAAAAAAAAGTACATATATAAATTAAAACTATTTATTGTAGTGAAATTCTGCATTTCTCTTTCTATTTTTGGTCCTCTTCTGATTGTTCCCTAATTTTCCTTGTTTAAACTTGGCCAAAAATATATTAAAGCTAGTTGCAAAAATAATAGTTGCAATCACATTTGACGCAGGGGCTTCTGGGTGAGGAAAAAAAAGGGTTGGATTTTGACATACTTTTGCCAAGAAATTTGGCTGACAACCAGTATTTAAAAGTGATGAATGTTAAATAACTGTTTAGTTAATTGAACGAGGCTGGAAATCATGCATGTTTAGTACGAAAACTGGTTGCATACAAAAACACTCTTTTAACTATGTAGCTGATATTGTATAATTAATTGTATGGTGTAGGTATACGCTTTTCACTGGTTTCACTTTGACAACTGCAATTACTGAGTGGAGCAGCGTCTTGTATTCAGTAATTTATACTTCATTTCCTACAATCTTTGTTGGAATCCTAGACAAGGATCTAAGTAGAATGACTCTTCTAAGGTATCCCCAGCTTTATGGGGCTGGACAGAGAGGGGAAAGCTATAATGCAAAACTATTTTGGATAACAATGGCAGACACTTTGTGGCAAAGTGTAGCTGCCTTCTTTCTCCCCCTCTTTGTGTTCTGGCACAGCACTATTGATGGTTCGAGCTTAGGAGATCTTTGGACACTTGCAGTGGTGATTCTGGTTAATATACACCTGGCCATGGATGTGATTTGGTGGACTTGGATTACTCATGCAGCCGTTTGGGGATCTATAGTTGCAACCTTTATTTGTGTCCTCGTTATTGATGCTATACCTGGATTACCTGGTTACTGGTAAGATCTCTTTGCTAATTTTTTGTTTAAATATTGAATATACTATTTATATTTGTGCACATGTACTTGCCTTCCTTGCTTGTATGCTTCTGTTGCCCATGGCAAATGAATGCTACATCATTGAATCTCATAGCATGATGGACTTTGCATTTGTACTGACCCTTCTTGCTTGTGTGCCTTAGTTGCACACAACAATTGCATCATAGAGTAATTTTGTGTTAGTTTGCGTTGCCAACATTCTTGACATTTGTTATTGATATCTTTGAATGTTAGTTGCTTCATGCACTGTGGCCTTTCTGTTAGGAGCTCCTCTCAAACTAATTTTTTATTTCAGTTTGATAAAAGAAAAATGTAGGAAGCATGATATAAGCTGAAAAATAAAAAAGAAACCAAAAACTGAACACAAAAGACTTGCACTTCTGTGTAGGGTTGTGTCCCCATTTAAGAAGCACTTGGAAAAATTCATAAAGCTTTTTCTGAAGAGAGTCAATTTACTATCCATGGATCTCACTTTTAGTTTGGCCTTATAAATAAACTCCAGATACATACAATCACCCACAAACCATATCAGTTAAGTCGAGTGTTATGTGCCCCATGAGAGTCAAATATGAGACTTTTTACCCCATAGTGGAGTTCCTATGTTCAAACCCTTAGCCACAGGGCCACCCGTGTGGGTTCTTTGAAGCTTAGCTCAAAATAAATTTTACTAGAAAGCAAATTGGTGAAAGTACCAAGAAATTTTTTTTTTAAAGAGTTTATTATATACAAATTTTACAGCATCTACAAAACAAAGGTGGGTTGTGATCCCTAGCCAATACAAGCAGTGGTTTGCTACCTCTAAGGTCCAATAGCGGTTCCAGAAATTCTTTCTATTGTATTCTTTAGAGAGACACTCCAAAACATGGGGTATTAAATGTAAGCAAAGAAATCTTTTCTGGGAACATGAAACTAATTGCAATTTTACAAAAATTTTGTGATGCATAATAACGAGAAAAATTATCGGTGATCAAACAAACATCACACCTAGTTAATATCTACACCATACATAGTTCTAGGGTACAATGTCTTGTTCAAAAATAAGATTAGAGAATCCACCGAAAACAAAAAAGGGGGAGAGAATATTACAGTGTAGAGTAAATATTGGGCATAAGGGATGACATATTCAATCGTATTTTTATTGGTTAGTGACACCACCTAGGATTATGTCATTGTTAAAAGTCTATTTATGAGTGTTACATGGTCTCCTATTTTTCACCAATTTTTTTTTTGCTGTAAATTGTAAGGTAATTATAGAATGTGTTGGGATTCATGACTAATTTTCCACTCTTTACATATATCATATATATAGGTAAGCCAAAAAAAAAAAAAAAAACTGAATATTATTCAATTGAATACCCTGATGAATGCATAGCGCCACCCCGCTAAGGGCAGAGGATGAACGTAGTTGTCTTTAGTGTACCATTGGTGGCTTTATGTGTTTAGTGACCATCTGTGACAGTTGAACTGCAAAGTTGCTACTTTCTTTAAAATTGCTTTGCACTTCATATAATGAATAAGCACGAGCATTTATTACTGAATCCATTTTCTTATAAATGGAAATGTTCTTCTGCTCTTGACTTTCATAATGTCAATTCTCATCATGGTTTGCTTAGCAGATCAAAGACTGAAGTACAACTCTTAAAATTAATTTTGCAGGGCCATCGTTCATCTTGCTCAAACAGGATTGTTTTGGTGGTGCTTGCTTGGCATCCCAATCGGAGCATTGATTCCTCGTTTTGTTGTAAAAATTTTTGTTCAATACTATGGAGCTGATGATATTCAGATTGCAAGAGAAGCTGAGAAGTTTGGGGGGTTTAGGGAGTTTGGAGGTGGAGAAATTGAAATGAACCCAATTTTCGATCCCCCCAGGAGATGACTAGGTGATTTTGTTGTGTGCATCTAATCTTCTTCTTCTTTTTTGTAAAAACTGTAGTTGTCATATTCTTTTAGGCTTTTTTTTTTAATTATTTTATTTTATCTTTTTTTTTCTGTGTCAAGTACATCATATTATTTAGGCTGCATCATAATATATCTCCCTTTCACTCTAGCCACATTTCGATTGTTTGCTATCCGAAGGATAGAAATTGTAATGCTTGAGTTTGTATCCTTCCTATTGTAATTTTTCACAGAATGACGCAATGTAAATTAGAGCGCTGTTTACGACCCAAAATCATTACCATTGTTATACATTTATTTGTTACGATGAAAAGAGTTAATTTTTGCAGGCTTTGAGTTGTGTATAGTATTCTTGGTTTGGTGTTGTTAATTTCAAGTGTTAATTTGGGATAACAGTGTGATACAAGGAAATGCGGTTAGTTTTAGATTTTATTATCAGAAAACATTTTGGGAACATGGTTTTGGTGTTGTGGTTATCACATCCCAACTGTTGTTGTGAAGATGAGTGTCTTCCTTTTCCATGAGCTTGCTGCTGCTGCTGCTGCTGCTGCTATCAAAATGGATTGGTCACAGTTGTGTTTGACTCTTTCCAGCTGATCTATGCTTTTTATTTTTTATTTTTTTTTATTTTTTAATTTATAAATATGTTTGTGACTGTAATGATTGTATTGTGTTGGCAGTCAGTTGATTGTTCTTTACCAAATGAACAATGTTATGGAGGAATCTACATCTCGTGGCACTTTCTTGATTTTTTTTTGTTTTTTTTTGAAAATTCTGGAAATCAATAAAAGCTTTGTGGATATCATAGAATTCTTGCTGTGTTGCCGAAAAATATTAGGAAATCATAGATTTTTTGTTTTGACTTGGCCCTAGCCGGCCGGGCCTGCCCTCCTGCCTCAGATAATTTCTTCCATTCTGGATGCAAGCCGCTCGTGGGCATAAACTAACAAAGTCGCCATTTAGGATTTAGGGTTTTTTTATACTAAATTTGAAAAAAAATTGTGATGATCAGGAAAAAAAAAAAAATACACTAACCGTCCTTAAGGTTCAGGCAAAAATTACAATATGCTTATAAATTTGGTATAATGACGTTGATCTCTTTTTTCCTAATGTTAAAGCAATAGGGATTAATGCAAAAAAATGTGCAGACATAAGCATAAACAAGAAAAAATATATATTTTAGTGTAAATATGATGTCAATATCATTTTTTTTTTCATATATAGGACTAACGAATTCTTGATGAAAAAATGGCACGGTTTTAAAACCTTAAGGTAATCCAATATAATTATGCTAAATTAGTTTGATTATGCAAGCTTAATTAATAACTTAAAAAATAATGTCTAAGTGATAATTTACTGTAATCAGTTCTATTTTCTTTTTTCTATAAACTAAATTTTGCTAAACAATAAAGTAACAAGATCATATATTATCTTTTTAAATTCTTATAATGATTTTTTTTATATCTTAATTTATGTAAGCGATAGAGACCCTGCAAAGGCATTGGACAACCTCTCTCTGAAGCGATTTCCAACGTCGTTTTGGCAAGTTCCAAAAATATTTTCATCGGGTAGATCTAGATTTTTTTTATACCTAAAAAGAAAGGTTTGAGAGCTTCTCTCCATATTTTTTGCATAGATTTTTTGAATATCTAACATTCTGTTTGTTTGGACAGAAAATATTTTTTGTATTTTCTAGTGTTTGGTATAATGAAAAACGAAAGTCAACGGAAAACATTTTTCGTAGTTCATGGAAAACAAGTCTATTTGAACAGAAAACATTTTCCATTTTTAAGAGGTGAAAAACGTTTTTTGAACAAAAATTTTACCACCAACACACCCCTCCCACCTCCACTACTACATCATCACTACCACGGCCACCGCCACCATCATCGTCGTCACCATTGTTGTTGCCCCACCACCACCACCAAACATAGAAAAATATTTTCTCCAAAAAATATTTTCAGAAAAATTTTTTCGTTCAAACAAACAAAGCATAAGGTAAGGCACTGTCTCTCATATTTTCCCTACTCATTAACCAATCATATCAGTTATACATAAGTGATCTTGTAAATCATTTTTTAATTTCAAAAATATTTAAAATAATCTAAATAAATATACTTTTTAATTTTTTTATAAAAAAATATATAAAAAAATAGGCAAATAATATAATGTGAAAAAATAAAAAAATACACGTCAGTAGTGCAACCCAAACCCTCTAAAATCTAAAATCGGAGTGTAACAGAGCGTGAAGCGTGGTGTTACTGAAAATCGGAGTGTTCATGGGTCGATGAGCAATGGGATCGGCGGGTTTCGGATCAAAATTCCCGGTCGATCGAGTGTTACAGTGATTCGTGGGACGAAAAAAAATCTTATCGTAACCCTAACCCTAATTTTGTGTCTACTAGGGTTGTGAGAGATGGGTATTGAGAGAGGTTAGGGTTGGGGAAGAGAGGCGGTGGTGGTAGTGGTGATGGGGTGGGGATGAAGAGAGGGGGACCCGGTGGCGGAGGTGGTGGTGACGATTAAGGGATTGGGAGATGGATTTATGAGGTTGGAGAGGATGAAGATGGACATGGCGAGGGAAGTCGAGGCGATGCAAAGGGACATGGAGATGAAGTGGACCGAGATGCTTCTCGAATCACAGGAGCGGATTGTGGAGTTCTTTGCGAAGGCTTTATCGGAGAAGAGAAACAAGAAGGCTAAGAGAATGCCAACGCCAAAAGCTTAGATTTTGGGCTGCCAATGGAATTGCAGAGTTCATAGTTGGGAGATTCAGAGAAAAATGCTTTTTCAGGTGTTGTGGAGCTCTCTGAAGCTGGCAAACTTGGGTTCGCATAGCTCTTATATGTAAGTTGTCTTTTTTGTTACTTCGTCTCAATTGATTTTTAGAGTAATTGAACAATTGGAACTGAATAGTTGTAGCTTGTTTTAGATGAATGTAGGTTCATTTCAAACTTGACAATCAATGTGTTCTTTTATTGTTTTTGATTCTTTGTATGGGAGTTATGCTTTTTATCCAATTGCATTAGTTTGCAATGACTACTTGATTGGAAAACAGAAAACTTGCAATTTGGTTTTGATGGCTGGAAATTGATTTGATGTCTATTGTTTTGGTACGTAGTTTGCTAGTATAATTGGAGTTGGGAGATAGAGATTGGGATACAGTATAGGAATTGAAATTGAAGATGTGATACTAAAGGTTAGTTCCGTGGTAGAGGAATGCTTACTAAGAAAGATGTTTCGATGGTTGTTGGCCATTTCAAAAGCATTTGAAGTCGATTATTATATCTAAATGCAACAAAATGCTGGGTGCTTGTTTTTTAAATTCTAGAAAAATATCTCATGTTGTAAATAAATTACATTTTCTTTTAAAAGAATTTCAAGAGGTTTTGCCCAAGTATTTTCTTGGGGTGACAAAATGGCTTCCCCAAATATTTAGCCGGTGTTTGGATCATGGGTTTTGATAGAGATTTGGAAAGGAAAAGGTAAAAAGTGTGGACAATGTGAGTGAAATATAATCAAATAGAGCCAGGCCACTATGTCAAAAGGCCATCATATTTCCTTGATAGATAATAGAGATGAGCTGCCATCTATTTATGATTGAGATGATACTTTTGGGAACATGGTTTTGGTGTTGTGGTTATCACATCCCAACTGTTGTTGTGAAGATGAGTGTCTTCCTTTTCCATGAGCTTGCTGCTGCTGCTGCTATCAAAATGGATTGGTCACAGTTGTGTTTGACTCTTTCCAGCTGATCTATGCTTTTTATTTTTTATTTTTTTTTATTTTTTAATTTATAAATATGTTTGTGACTGTAATGATTGTATTGTGTTGGCAGTCAGTTGATTGTTCTTTACCAAATGAACAATGTTATGGAGGAATCTACATCTCGTGGCACTTTCTTGATTTTTTTTTGTTTTTTTTTGAAAATTCTGGAAATCAATAAAAGCTTTGTGGATATCATAGAATTCTTGCTGTGCTGCCGGAAAATGTTGGGATATCATAGAATTTTTGTTTTGACCTGGCCCTAGCCGGCCGGGCCTGCCCTCCTGCCTTAGATCATTTCTTCCATTCTGGATGCAAGCCGCTCGGGGGCATAAACTAACAAAGTCGCCATTTAGGATTTAGGGTTTTTTTATACTAAATTTGAAAAAAAATTGTGATGATCAGGAAAAAAAAAAAAAAATACACTAACCATCTTTAAGGTTCAGGCAAAAATTATAATGTGCCTATAAATTTGGTATAATGACGTTGATCTCTTTTTTCCTAATGTTAAAGCAATAGGGATTAATGCAAAAAAATGTGCAGACATAAGCATAAACCAGAAAAAATATATATTTCAGTGTAAATATAATGTCAACATCATTTTTTTTTTTCATATATAGGACTAACGAATTCTTGATGAAAAAATGGCACGGTTTTAAAACCTTAAGGTAATCCAATATAATTATGCTAAATTAGTTTGATTATGCAAGCTTAATTAATAACTTAAAAAATAATGTCTAAGTGATAATTTACTGTAATCAGTTCTATTTTCTTTTTTCTATAAACTAAATTTTGCTAAACAAAAAAGTAACAAGATCATATATTATCTTTTTAAATTCTTATAATGATTTTTTTTATATCTTAATTTATGTAAGCGATAGAGACCCTGCAAAGGCATTGGACAACCTCTCTCTGAAGCGATTTCCAACGTCTTTTTGGCAAGTTCCAAAAATATCTTCATCGGGTAGATCTAGATTTTTTTTATACCTAAAAAGAAAGGTTTGAGAGCTTCTCTCCCTATTTTTTGCATAGATTTTTTGAATATCTAACATTCTGTTTGTTTGGACAGAAAATATTTTTTGTATTTTCTAGTGTTTGGTATAATGAAAAACGAAAGTCAACGGAAAACATTTTTCGTAGTTCATGGAAAACAAGTCTATTTGAACAGAAAACATTTTCCATTTTTAAGAGGTGAAAAACGTTTTTTGAACAAAAATTTTACCACCAACACACCCCTCCCACCTCCACTACTACATCATCACTACCACGGCCACCGCTACCATCATCGTCGTCACCATTGTTGTTGCCCCACCACCGCCAAACATAGAAAAATGTTTTCTCCAAAAAATATTTTCAGAAAATTTTTTTCGTTCAAACAAACAAAGCATAAGGTAAGACACTGTCTCTCATATTTTCCCTACTTATTAACCAATCATATCAGTTATACATCAGTGATCTTGTAAATCATTTTTTAATTTCAAAAATATTTAAAATAATCTAAATAAATAT